CCACTGGGAGCTGGTCGCCGAAGTCAACAACCCGATATCGAAAGACAAACAGCCAGACCACATAAATGATCGTAATAAGAAAAAAGAAACCCAAACAACAAAAAATAGCTAAGTCCCGCCAACACCAAACCCGATAGACTTACAAAACCGAATCAGAGCAACAAAAACAGTGTGACATCAGAACTGGAACAAACAAGCAACAATAATATCCCAGCATGGCAGGGATTTGCATCTCCAATACAACAGGGCTACCTGCTTGAAGATGTCTTTACAGAGAGCAGTGATGGTCAAGATAGCTAAAGATTGAATGAAGCGAAGGAGCCGCAACCCAAAGCAGTCAAATAAATAAAAGGTTATTTTTTGATTGTTTCATGGTGGTTACATTCTAAAGCACAAATAAATGCCTGCAGCATGTTGTTTTAATTAAAGAATAGGCGTTAACTAAGCTCCACTAATTTAGCGATAAACACAATTCCTTTCCTATAAATTCTTCACAATAAAGGTTATTTATTATTATTAATTTAAAGCTTTTATTATGAGCAAAGTCCTAAAGTTATAGGTTTTTTATCAGCAGTAACTTAATACAACTCCTAGAGCTGAAACATGAAACAGTAAAATAAAGCAGACAGCGACGCAGGAGAGTAACTGAACTTCAAATCTGCATGGTGAAAAGTGCAGATGGAAAAGCTCTGCTTGGTCTGCGCCTGCTGATCGGCTCTTGGAAATTGAAAATTAACTCAGGTTCTAGGCTCGCTCAGGCTAAGACTTTGCAGGAGGCAACAAAAGCAACAACAGTGAAATTGTGAAAATGCTAAAAAATAAACGATGGAAGGAGATAATCACATGATTATGTCACAGACTAAACATAATTCTGTGTCTGATATGAAATACTAGCGAGCAGCAGAAACAGTGAAAGCCCTTTTATAAGGTTTTTCATTCAAACCTATACTACACCTCTGGCTCACATGGCCGTGAAGGATCAAGTTCCTAATTGGCTGCAGCTTCTCGTACAAACAGCACATTGTGGATGACTGTGTTATATAAATACGACTTTCCTCTACGCTGCCGAGCCGATGGTGATGGGAGGAATATTTGCAGAAGCCGGTGGCGAGCCGCTCTCGGCCAGAGACCCTGACTTACGATGCCTCAGCACTTTAGGTGTGGGGTCTGAGGTGGATTCTGACGTCAGAGAGGTTGTTTTGCTTCGGGATGCGTCATATGAGATTCTGTGAGGGGACGCCTGGATGTCAAGTTTCTGCGGCGCCCTCCTGTAACTTACAGACTCCCACACAAGAGTTAGAGAGAGGATTGTTCCCTGTAAGCCAAGCTGAGTTCCTCCTGGTGATGTTTCAATATAACATAAGACCCTTTATGCTGCTCAGGTCCAGTCTTGGCTTGGACCCTCAAAATGGATCACTACAGGTAAATAGGGAAGTTCAGTAAAGTCATGACTGTGGAGCATATTTTTTGTCAAACTTGTTGTAAAACTTCTTTCATGTTTTCTTGGCTGCAAATCTGTTGTACTTTATTGAAATTCCTGAACAAACAGTGAAAAAACTGCTTTCATATTTGGACTTAAATGAAATATAATTTGAGTTAAAGCCGTCTGGTTACATAATATTTAGTGTGGAAGTGCCACTTAATAGACCAACTATTATGAGCAGCCAGCTTCACAGAGCAGAGCAGTCTCACTTAAGCAAGACTAAAACTTTAATTTGCCCTTTGTGCTGCTCAGCTCTACACCTGGTGCCTCTGTGGTGAAGAAACATGAGAGCGAATGGCATGAAACAGTCATAAATAAAAAAAATAGGGCCTCCCAAACTGATCGTTAAAGCAAAAATCCCCCTTAAAACTGAAGCCAGGCATCGAAAAACTCAAAAACTTGATTGAGGGTTCAGACTCTATAAAGTTAGTCCGCAGTAGGAGAAGTTTGATAGAATTTTGAACTCAAACACAAATAATGGATACATGTTTAAACAGTTCTCATATCTACATTTGTTTTTCCATTAAAATAATTAAACATTTAAAAATAGTTTTTAGCCTGAATCAGTTCTCCTTCTGTTAGATATGAAGCAAGATGTGAACGTTGTCTTGAGTGTCTTTCCCAGTGGTCCAGCAGCTCTCCACCAGCTATTAAAGGCAACCAGACTACAGAGCAGCAGGCCAGTAAAAGCATAATGACAACTGTTGATGTCTACAGGTAATATTGTACAGTACGCTTGCATCCTTTTTGGATTCTGGGTCAGTTTCTTTGAGGGGCGGATATATAGCTGTCACCTCGGTTTGGTGTCCACTGCTGCCAAATTTAACACATTAATTTAATGATCTGTGATAATAATAATACATTTAGACATTAGTTCAAACATCTTCATTTTGGGGCTTTTTCCAAACAAACATTGATATGTGTGATTGTTTGATTAAATCAACTTATATTTCTGCCACCCCTTAAAGTCTCCACCCTCCAGCCACCCCACAAATATTTCTCTAGATCCACCCCTGATTATTCTCTGTATCTGGGTTACTGGCTTTTTAGCGATCATTTGTTCGAACAGTTGGCTTCTTCTGAATATCAGGGTGTATTTGATGTTTGATGAGCTTTATATTTGTTGTTGGCTGCCAAAGGTTTTTTTGCTGTACATCCCCAAAAAGTTCTGTTAGCTCTGTAGAGTTCTGAAACTGCCATCCAAACCTCCTCGCTGATCAGTCCTTTCTTTTATTGTCTGTTCACCTTTATAAATGTACTCTTCTCCTCACACACTCTGCCTGTCCGTCTCCTCTTTACTCACTTGAACATCGTCTCAGTCTCGCTGTTTCCAAACCAGACTTTGAGATGAGGGCTGAAGTTTTCTCCGTGGATCTCCAGCATGGCAACATGTCCTCCGCCATTCACCTGCGGTAACACACATACACATTTATATTATTGTTTACGTTTATTTCTAATGATATATTACTTTTGTTGAAACAGATACAGGTGACAGTCTTTGCAGATTGATTTTTGTACTGAAGTCAATAATAAATCAACAATAATAAACATAGCTTCAACGTAGTTTCAACCCAGTCTGTGTGTGTGTGTGTGTGTGTGTGTGTGTGACTCACCTCTAACCCAGTGATAACAGGAAAAGGAGTAACTGGTGTCTGGATGCAGGCAAAACCCTGATTAAAGTTGAATTCCACTACTTCCACTCCGATGATGGTCCAACAGGATCCGTCGTTCAGCACCACTCTGCTGGGGTCTCTGACACTGGATGGGGCCTGGAGGGCATGGGAAGGATGGAGGAGATGAAAGGAGAACCATAGAAGAAGAAAGAGGGAAAGTGCTGGCAGGGAGGGACAGACAGAGGACAGGAAGGACAGAGAAGGAGTAAAGATAGAGAGGGAACAGACAGGAAGGATAGAGGGGGTCTCGCCTGGTACTGTATGATGGTGTCATTAGATAAACACAGGTATGCGTTTGGGTTGTCTCTGAACTGGAAGGCGCACTTGTGGAGCTGAGAAACCGGCTCGTCCACGTCTAAAATGGCGTGCTGCTTGTTGACCTTACGGATCACCTGGAGACAGAAACAAAACGATGGACATTTAAAAGAAAATCAATCAGGAATGTTTACAGATGCCTGAATGTAATTACCACTGAATATTCAATCAATTAATCTTCACAAGACTGAGAGTCTACATGCTAGCAGCTTGACTGACAAGCATGTAGCATGCCAAAAAGACTGTACTTTGTCTCAAATAAGTACTTTGAGCTAAATGCTAATCTTCTCACATTGACAATGCTAACATGCTAATGTTGAGCAGGTATAATGTTTACCATGTTCTATAGCTGAGTGGATCAACCAATGGCAATGTAAGTTTTAGCTACTTGTGCTTTAGGACATAACTGCTGACAGATTCAGTCACTTTCTTCACTGACACTTAATATAGTGTAACTCCCCGGCCTCTTGAGGGCAATAATGAAAAAATAAATAAAAAAGGAAAACATGACTGTAACTGAGTGTTGAAACAGAGTTCTCTGCAGCAATATTCAGCCTCTCAGTTTGAAGACAGCAAGCTTCTGAGGCAAAAAGCACACTGACTAATTTGCAGGCTGTAACTACAGCAAGAAGAAGAGAGCTTCAGGTCAGGTCAGGTCAAAAGATACAATAATTATCTGGATAAAATAACCCAAAACAACAAAGCTAGCTTACCGTACAAATATACAAAGAGAGTAAAAGCTTTAAACGAAACATAACACAGCTGTCTGCAGTAATCTGAAGGTTCAGTGATGGGATTTAAGAAAGCTGAATACTCTGAAACCAGGCAGTCTGTACATTGCTGGAGGTTTCATAATGAAATACTTCTGGTATCTCTAGGCCTTGAGCCCTAATCCTAAGTATTAACACATTCAAACACACCCTTTATTGCACCGCACACAGAATACAACACTTTGTTCTCATATTTAAGTCTTTCCACAGCTGCTGATCCAGCTGAACTCTTTGGTCTGTACCTTTACCTCTTCAGTGCCTGGACACCGACCACAACCAAACAACAGAACCGAGCCACTCGTCACGTAACCGACTCAGCAGGAAAATGTTCTCCATCTTCAACAACCCATTTAGCAGTAGGCCTCAACTACAAAAACATATATAGGTGTAGTGTGTGGATATACCTTTAACCACATGCCAGCGGGCAGCAGCTGAGGTTGTTATGACAGCAGTTTAGGAGGTACAGAGGAAGAGTCTGCTCAGCAGATTGTGAAGGATTCTGCTAAGAGGTTTGTCTAAGTTTAACTTAAAGTGGAGGACGGGCTCAACAATAACAGCATTTCAGGGATTAGAGGGTTATGTAACACCTGCACAGACACACATCTGTAAAACATATAGGACTAGAGCAGTGATTATACCTTGACTTTGTGGGTGAAATATTAAATGATCAGACAAGACAACTACAGTACAGAGTGTGTGTACATTTTTCACTCTTCATACGGGGCTTGTTTTTAATATAAGGGTTGCATTGAGATCGTTACCTTCAACCTAGAGATCAACCTACTCTGCATCAGGACCACAGGATCTCTCTTCAAAAAGGACTAAAACCGAACTCTGATTTATCATGTACTAAATAACAGAAGCCACTGAGGAGAAAGGAATTTAGTGTTTTGCTCAGTGACACTTCAGCAGGGTGCATTATTATCAAATAAAATAAAATAAAAAATTACTTGTTAGCGCCTGAACCAAAGCAATGACCAGAATGTGTGCATATACTGTGTGTGTGTGTGTGGGGGTGTGTATATATGTGTGTATAGGTGTGTGTATAGGTGTGCGTGTGTGTGTGCTACCATGGGTGGCAGAGTAACTCCAGACTCAGTGCACACTAACTGAACCACACAGCCGTAACAGATGAAGCCTTCGCTCAGCACAAAGTCCCCTTGGTCAGCACGCTGGTCCTCCACTACACACACACACACACACACACACACACACACATACATGAATATTCATACACATTCATGGACATACTGCAACACATACACACTAGTTTAGATCAAGTCATTACAGTTTGATTACATTTTCCAATAAAAAACATTTTCCTACCAACAGATGAATAAAGACAAATAGACATTGCGTGCGTGTGTGTGTGTCTTTGTGTGT